AAGGAAACGTCAAAGCTTCCGCGCTTCGCGCGAAGGGGAAACTGAATTAAGATGAATAGGGCTTAATAAGAGTCGAAAACGGTACAACAAGTCCTCTTCTTTCTCTAACAATGTAAGGAAACGTCAAAGCTTCCGCGCTTCGCGCGAAGGGGAAACTGAATTAAGATGAATAGGGCTTAATAAGAGTCGAAAACGGTACAACAATTCCTCTTCTTTCTCTAACAATGTAAGGAAACGTCAAAGCTTCCGCGCTTCGCGCGAAGGGGGAAACTGAATTCAGACAATTACGGCTCATTAAGAGTCGAAAACGGTACAACGAATCGTTTCCTTTCTCTAATAATTCAAACAAAACTTCCGCGCTTTGCGCTGGAGGGGAAGCTTCATTCAGACCAGGATTAAGAGTCGAGCACGGTTCAATGAATCGTCTACTTTCTCTAATAATTTAAGGAAACGTCAAAGCTTCCGCGCTTCGCGCGAGAGGGGGAAACTGAATTCAGACAAATAGGGCTTATTAAGAGTCGAAAACGGTACAACGAATCCTCTTCTTTCTCTTATAATTTAAAGAAACGTCAGAGCTTCCGCGCTTCGCGCGAGAGAGGGAAACTGAATTCTGATGAATAGGGCTTAATAAGAGTCGAGCACGGTACAACGAATTGTCTTCTTTCTCTAATAAATTAAAGAAACGTCAAAGCTTGCGCGCTTCGCGCTAAATGGGGAAACTGAATTCAGACAATTACGGCTTATCCTTTCTCTAATAATTCAAACAAAACTTCCGCGCTTTGCGTGGGAGGGGAAGTTTCATTCAGACAAGGATTAAGAGTCGAGCACGGTTCAACGAATCGTCTACTTTCTCTAATAATTAAATTAAACGTCAAAACTTCCGCGCTTCGTGCGGAGGGGGAGAACTGAATTCAGATAAGGATTAAGAGTCGAGAACAGTACACCGAATCGTCATAATTGAATGAAACGTCAAAGCTTCCGCGCTTCGCGGGGGGGGGGGGGAGGGGGAGAAACTGCATTCAGACAAGGATTAAGAGTCGAGCACGGTTCAACGAATCGTTTACTTTCTCTAATAATTTGATTAAAAGGATTAACAGTCTTATAATGAAACGTCAAAGCTTTCGCGCTTCGCGCGGGAGGAGGGGAAAACTTCATTCAGACAAGGATTAACAGTCGAGAACGGTACAATAAATCGTCTTCTTTTCCTAATAATTTAAGGAGACGTCTAAGCTTCCGCGCTTCGCGCGGAAGGCCTATCACCCACACCCCCCTAATGAGCGCGCTTCGCTTGCTCACTACCGCCCCTCCCTAAAATAAGATCCTAGCTCCGCGCCTGCATAATAGCTATGAATGCTGACTAAGTTGACGAAATAATTCGTATATTTGTGTCGTCGTGGAAAATGACGATTTGCGCATACGAAAGTACTACAGATAGTCTATAGGAAAAACAATTTAGCCTTCGGCCCCGGGTTTATAGGGTTAAATGTGTAGATATTGGACATTTAATTTTGTCGGTAATTGGTGGCTAGTTTTGTCGGTAATCGTTGGCCTCTACACCCCCCCCCCCCCCCACTGAAAAAGGTCTAGCAACGCCCCTGCCTTTACGTATGACGTCACATGTAGCAATCGGCTCATCGAGTGCCTACTTTGACGGACGGGTGCAGTGCACCAAGTACTGGGATGTCAGCTTGAACGTAGTTGGATAACTTTACTCTAGTTGGCTGAATGGCTTCTTTGACGAGATGTCTCTCGAGGACGGTCTGTGGGATGATGGACACACTCGATCCGGTATCAACGGTCATGTCTATGTTCACTCTTCCGGCGAGCTAGCCGAACTCTGCGTTTGACTGAACTGGTATAGGCTTTGAGTTCACTGTCAAGACTTTATTTGCAACGTCTTGAACTTCCCCGACCAGTATAGGCCTATCAATTAGAACGAAAGTCATCTCATAGCCTGCCAGCACGAGTTTTCTTTTTAATTTTCGACACAGTGGCGTATCCCGGACATTGGCCTCGCCGCAGGAGGGGCAAAACATTTCAGCTTACTGTGATCCAAATACTTTCCATCCAGAATTCACTGTTTGGATGCACAATTGGTTTGCTGTCACCGATCGAGGGAGGAGGGGTATTACCCGAAATGACTTTGAGAATATGACCATGGCGGCACCCCCCCCCCCTTTACTTACAAGTATTGCTTAACCTGCTAACTATATTAGGTTATAAATAGTTCCTGTAGATCTTTTTCTTGGTCGGCAATCAGTCAGGAGGGCCTAACTGCCCCCCCCCCTTGCCCCTCCTTCAAATGTATAGCTAGTGATGATGCATGTAGTACTCGTTGACTAAAATGCTATTAAGCATTGGCTTCAAGAACGCACCACCAGAGACTATTACCCTGAAGAATAAAAAAGATGACCTTAAAAATACCGCTCATTAAAATATATTGGAATCTGTGAGGTGATATTCTAAAAAGAGACGACACCCCCTCCCTCCCTCCACTCCTGATAGATTTGGTATGCCCACGAGTAGGTCCATGCCATGTATCTACCACCTTGACCGAAAGATCTCCTAACAACAGCACGTGGATAGATTGGTATCATGACCGTGACATTTTATGCTGCCGAACAAAAGCTAGAAAATGGCTGTAAAATGTGACGTCATCGTCAGTGAAAATTAGTGGCACACGCATCGAGAAAAGAACGTCGGCGAACGATAAATTATCGTCAATTCCATTTGTGATTCAGTTCAGACGGGCGGATTACGATTCTTCCACCGTGGCCTTCAGGTGCTATCTTAATTTGCGTCATCTCCCTTGTGGTGTTGTTTCCTTCCGATTGCACTTACCTGCAAGCTAGCCAAAGATATTTGATATTCTAAGGGAGACATAATCAACCCCGATAAGCATGCACTCAGCATGTAAATCTTGGCCTGCATCACAGGGATACCTGCAAGTTTTGCATCAATACTGTGGAGCATGTTACCATGGTAATGAGTGTGGATACTACGTTTGGTCGCCATTCATTGTCGGGATCTATCAGGATTGTTATACGGAATCATGATATTTTGAAAGGCGGAAGGGAAGGTTTTCTCGTACAATCAGCCAAAAGCATCCGCCAATGCGCACCAGTTTCACATGTTGTTATTATAGGTAAGAGCTCAAAAGGATGATTTTTAAGAGAACATGTTTGCATACAAATCTGAATACAGTTATAATAATCTTTCTCTCTTGCTGTATGCAGATTTTTTTTGTCCGTCTGCAATCTCTCTCATTCTCTCTCTTTCTCTTATTTTATTTATTTTTTCTCCCCCCTTCTCTCTCTGTCTGTGACCCTGTCTCCTTTGTATCCCCACTCTCTTTCTCCCATTCTCTTGTTGCAGTTCTTTCTGACTTTCCGTTCCTGATCTTTGTTCAGCATGTCAGTTACTTAAAAGGGTCAATCAAATTTGTGAATAATGAAATTGATATAAAATTCAGACTGAATTCGATGGGAATCAAAATTTATTTGGTAAGCAAACTAAAAGTATTAACAGTACCACAGGATCGTTTGGCTGGCTACCGTATTGCAGTATATTGGCTTATATCAACAACTAAAAAGAAGATATCTACATGTAGTAAGTAAATATTGATAACTATAGTTTTGTTTAAATCCAATTCAATTCATCATTTCAATTAAAGAATAAAATAAACGTGTACATGGAATAATACATTGTTACACAAAATAATAGAATACATGTATATGCATTGGTACCAACATATCAAAATTGCTTGGAAGGTAGCAGCCAGAAGGAAGTGACCAAATGGCCAACCTAAAGAAGATATAATTAACAGTTAAACACGTGAACCAGATTTTAATGACATGACAAAACACCTTATTCCTACCACAAAAAAATGCGCGTCACCGTGCGCGAAATTATAAGATAGATCAAGGAAAAGAAGAAAAAAAGTTCAAATTAATATTAATAATTTGCAAGAATAACTTTCAGTTGTTTTTGTTTTAATTGCTGTTTATGTTTGCTTACTTATTTAGTTTTAAATCTTGGTTCATCATTATCTTGGTTGATACCCAGACCAACAAGAGACCGAACACAGAATGGAAAAGAAATGGTCGATTTATAAAGGTTTGTGAGGTTGTTTTGGAGTCGGTTCGGCCCCCTATAGATATACAACTCTAGATGCGATTGCTTCTCCATGGAAAATGTCCCAAAAATATCTTCTTAAAAAAAAAGTGTTCATGATAGTGTATTTATTTTGAACGCAGGAGGACCTATAAGAACATGTTTATAATTTCATACGCCAGCCATAGCTCCAAAAAGTGAATAAATGAATCGGGTATTAACGACAAGTTCTATGTCATTTCTCCCATGTACTTTGCCAGACGGAAAGCAAACATAGAAAATATGCAACAAAGATATCACAGTCCTTCAGATGAAATATCAAAAACCCTATTTTGACGATTGGTTTTACAATACTTTTGCAAAATACATCAAAAATGAATAGGTCGACTTTCGAAACTCTTAGTACAAATGTAAAAGAATTGTAAGTAGAATTTTTATGAAAACATGGCATTTGCTCTCATGATTCTGGGTAAAATATAAAAACTAGTTTGAATAATAGGACAGTGATCTGAGATGCATTGTAGAAAATGAAGAAAAATATATCCATTGTATAAAACGGCAATACATATAGAGTCTATTATTATGGTGATTATTACCTACTGTTAAGAAATCTTTTAGTCCACAATTAAATTGTGTCTACATCATTTACAACTCTATCTTCTAAATCAAGATATAACTAATACCATTAGATGTTATATGCACATTTATGAAATCTCAGAAACACCAGGCCTCTTAAACGAAAAATTATGTTACTCTTAATTGTTCAGCATGCTTGTTTATACCTGACAAAAATAGGTCTGATCGCACACATCGCATCCCCCCTCTTCCTACGGGCCTGAAGACAGTGATATCATACAGTGCAAGGAATGGGGAGTCATCCACTATTTTCAGTGGAATATATAGAGTCTGTCAGTAGTGCAGAGAGCGATCTCTCCTGATCGGTACTGCTGCATATAGTACCATTTTCTAACAGGCTTCTCAATCTTGTAATCAATGTCGATGTTCTGGACATGCTTCAGCTCGTTAGTGTACTCATCAATGCTGACCAAACCTACATCGTGATTCACGGTGGCTATCAGGATTGTATTCACTTGAGACACCGCAGCATATAGATCGAGATCATGACCTGATTTCGCTAATTTATATTTAACAACACCTTGTTTGTCAATCAATCGTATTGCATCATGAGATCTGATGACCAGGTAATCAGTATAACTAGTAATCTGCTGAGGTTCATACCCATCACATGGTATCTCTCTGATCGCCTTCCCACCTGCTGTTGAGAAAACATGGATCTTCTTGGTTTTCCTGTAGCTAACATAGATCTGATCATCACTGTTGACGGTGAAGTTAGCATATCCACCTTCATCGTTACTCAGAGTCTCAAACTTTACATTCACCTTTGTTTGCTCTAGTGTGTACAGTGTGATGTTGTTTGAGGTATCAAGCATAACATACCGATCATCAGAGAGGAACCCTACTCCAAGAATCAGAACATCCTTGAGAACTGTCTGCTGGTGCTGACCATCAGCAGAGAAGATCTCCACGCCACCTTTCCAACACCCCACTGCCATCCTACCGTCAGGTGTACTAACCATGGCATTCATGCTGTTCTTAGTGGGCAAAGCAATGTTCCTTTCAACTGCATTTACGATCTTACCGAGAGTTAGCTCGTTCATTCCAACATTCCTCTTAAAACTGACACTTTTTCCTTTCCTGCTCGATTGGATCGGCTGCTTGTAGTCAGGATCTTCTTGTTTCAAAGCCTCCTGTAAGTCTTGACATAGAGTGTCGTGTGCAGCCAAAGCATCCATATCTGACGGTACCTTTGTCCTATTGGTTACCATGTCAGCTACGGTGGTCAAGTGAGTAATGTGCCCCTGAGCCGATTTCTTCATTTCGTCCAGTTCCTTCTCTACTCCATCGGTCTTACCCTTGACTTCCCCAATGAGGATTTCTTTCCTCTTTGTCAACTGCCGGACTGATTCTTCAAATGCTTTGTCGATATCATCTGTACACTGCTTCTGAACATTGCTCACATGCTCCTTCTGTTCATCAATAAAATCAACGTATTTCTGAAAGCAAGAGCGTTTCTTGTCCGCCTTGGATTTGAGGTCCTCGGTACTCTTCAAATGGTGCCTTTCATAAACAGCTGCCTCGATAATCCGATGTCCTTCGTCTTTATGCTCCATGACAACACACCTGAAGCAGGCAAATCTTCTGCAGTCGGAACAGAAGCACTCCTCATCCTCTTTGGGGTGTTTCCTGCATTTACGGTACCTACGTACTGTCACCTTCCCCGATACGATCTCACTCATGGCTAAAACCTCATGTGTGATGAAGTCTTGCCACTGAGAGTGGTTGTTGTGGCAAGTGTAACAGAGATACTTTCCACAGTCTTGACAGTAGACAACAGCTTGCGGCTTGTCCTCGGATTTACAATTCGAGCAAAACTGATATTGATTCTTTACGTCCTCTATGAGAGACTTCAAAGCTAGACTTGTCGATAATTTGCTGACATCTCGGTTTGGGACCTGGGTTTCAGCTCTGCAGACAGGGCATCGGAGCATCTGGTCGTTACCATGGCATTCCAAGATGTTGTCCAGACAAGCCTTGCAGTAGGTGTGAGAACAAGATAGGATCTTGGGATCGGTGAAGGTATTCAGACATACAGGACACTCCAGACTCTGAGCAATGACATTCTTTAATGCCTCAGCCATGATTCAAATTCTACAGGAATACGAGATAAAAGAGAAGGAAAAAACAAAATGATTAGTGTAGCTTTGATTCATCTGATTGTATCAAAATGGAGTGTTTATCCCTATCATCACGCCTTTCCATAGATAATATGATATTCCATTAAATCCTGATAAAATTAATTCTTGTTATTCATCAACTGAATGTAGTAATGAAAAATTAATTAAAAAAAAAAATCTTTCCTTTGTCGCTCTTCAGTCAATGTACATCAAAATGGGGAAAACTGATGACGATCATAAAAATAATAATCCTAATATAAATAATAATAATGATGATAACAACAATAATAATAATAATAATAATAATGGTAATACTTTATATCCCAACAAATAACAATAATCATCATAATAATAATGATGCTTTGTTTATTCAGTCCTCATCAAAAGACATATGATGTTTTCACCGAGGGCCCCGCAATCGTAATACTAATCCGGCTTTAGCCAACCTACCATGATAATTTGCTCATTATATCGCTCTGGTTTGGCAGAATCATTAGCTGAAATGTTAGCTATATTTAATGAGAATCGCATAATAACCTGAAATATTTCCCATGTGTATTCATATTAACATAACATGTACGAATAATATTTCATGATAACTTTGTAATTCAATTCACAATAACATACCAACACACATTTTCACCAAGGACAAACAAACACTGAGAAGTTATACTTATGAACGATATTAATAGGATCCCAATTTTTTTAATGCGACTAAAGTTCCTTCCAGGTTCAAGATCAAGGACGTGAAAAGCTCTGTTTTGTTTATTTTTATTTTTTTGAAACCTGTTTCTTCATATTGGGTCTAACCAGATGTCGTTTCCTAAGCACCCGTCATTCTCTCAAGAGTGTCTGGAAGTCTGCCTTGAATGGTCTATAAACGTATAGGCCCTACGTTAATGTGAAATGAAAATATCGAAAAATGTTACCGAATTTCTCTCGGAAATGACACTGACATTATAATTCACTCACCTATTTTTCTGTAACTATAGGTATCGGTCTAGGTGTTATATGAAATCAGTAAACATGTACATGTATACCCTGTGCCTTACGATGTAATGGCGCGCTGATCATAAGTAGGACGATATACATGTATGTACTAATTGTGCTTAGTTTATAAATCTATTTTCAGGTATTGGGAATTCCCAGCAACCTTTGACGCTACAATTTACTTGGTTGTGGGTTTATTCGTCTAGTAAAATGATCGCCCAGTAAAGAACTCGATCTCATTTTCTCAAACGTTTGTAGAGCAAATATATGCCTGTGTCAAAATTGAATTATATTTCTGTGATCTCCCTTTACAATAAACACTCTCAAGATAGAGTCAAATTACTTTTGCGAAACTTTCGTGGAACGGTCCTCCTTCGAGATTTCAGTAAGATTGTTGGAGATGGCGCTATACATTATTTTATAAACATGTTATTATACTAATGTCGGATACCGGAGGATCATTTGAACCTACATGTATTATGTTGGTTTAACCAGGTAACACATAACAATGGACTGAGCATTCTACCAAAAATGTATTTTCGGAATCCCAGAATGGACCGAGTATGATCATCACTGGGTCAATGGATAGTCCATTATTGTAAAAATTACTTGAAACCTTATAATAAGCCTTCATCAGGCTAAAATGGGTGGCGGATACTGACAAATGTGATCTCCCTCGCTTGCGATCCTCCCCCCGATTTTGAAAATCAATTTTAAGGCCGAAATAGGTTTAGCTTTAAACTGATGCTTGTGAGCTGTATCATCAGATCAAATGATTAATTCCAATGTAACCGCTCGCAAACAGTGAGCTATAGGGGTGAGGTCTACTTGACATAAATTATTATGCATGAAATTTTCCTTTCTTCCTCAGAAAATTGTGTTAAAAAAAAGAGTTATACAAAGGAAAAATTGCTATAAAAAGCACTGAATTCTTCTATTCAATGTTTATGTACTAGGTGTGTACCATTGCACCTTTGTTACTTTTATTTCATTGCGAAAATTGATTAGATTAGAGGTACTAAATTTACATCAAGGACAAAAGATTGCTCTATTTTGTCTTTAAACACTTGAATGTTTATGGAACATCTTTGTGTTTCTAATCTTGAAATATTGATATTATTCTGCATCAAAGATGAATTAATATGATAATAACAGCTCAAAAGCATCAGCTTTAAGCTAAAAACTAATTCGGTCTTAGATTGATTATTAAAATCAAAATCGATCTAAGTTGATGAAACAACCCCTAGGGGAGTATCGCTAGTGTGGGCGATCACAGTCGTCACTATCCGTCCCCTTCCCCTTTTTGCTCGACTTAATTTTATGTCCTGGACGCCCCCCTGGTTCGACTTCTATATACTTTAGCCTGATGAAATTCAAGTCAACCTCCCCAAGCCGGATAACCCCCTCTTTTTTTTATAGGATCCACTCCCTCTTTAATAACATCCCGGAGCCGCCCCTAGTAGCCACTGATTCTGATTTGATAATCCATGATTGCTCCAGAAGCCTCAACGGAAATCAAGTCTTCCATCCCCTTTGATTCACCAACAATGAGCTAATTGTTAATGTTGCCTCATTATTTTGTGGGTATGTGTATGTGTGTGTAAGTTGTAAATGGATGTGTACAGACGTGTATCAATCACCTACATGCAATTATGATAAGGAGCGAGCTTTGCACCATCCGAAAAATGTGACTCAGTTTCGAACTGAGGTCCATCAGATTCAGTTTGTGGGCGAAGGCAGAGAGCTGAGCGTTATACCACTAGACCAACTCCCAACTCTCCTGGTGTATCCGCGATGGACTTCTCTTCTCCATCCGTTCCGCATATGTTTGAATGAAGCATTATTTTGGCGATGCTATATAGTGTTGATACATGGAATATCGTATCATCTGACTGATAGTCATGCTCATTATTGTGAGACTTCGATGTAGCGCCCGAGGCATTGTCATCTTCATAAGAGAAAGTCGAATTGCTTATCAAAAGGAACATAGTTATTCAGACTGAAAACAATATAATTGCTGGTTTATATAGGACAACAATACATGTACGTGAATCCTGGAAATTGAATCTTATAATGGAATAGATGATGAGAATATGCTATGTACGATTCATCTCAAGATTATTCGCGACGACAAACAAAGGATTACATTTTGCTATATACAGGCAAGTAAACAATGATTAATCTTCTGACAAATTGCTTCATGTACAGTTAATTACGTTAAGTCACATGTTGTGAACTTTAATTCACGGCATTGCTGAATAGAAGCTTTTTTGCGAAAAGCAATTTTTACCGTGATTAAGCAAATACGATACAAAACAAGAGGAATACATTATAAGCCAATACTCAAGATTGAGGATCAGACTGCATCGAGTGATAATCCATGATGCACATTGTGAAAGAAAGGCGTGATCTTTGAAACCTGGTGAAAGTTTTCTTTTTCATGATAGTCAAGCAGGAGGATGGGAGAAACGAGTGAAGATGAATGTATATACAGGATCAAGCTTCTCCAGGTTGGCGACTCGAATGAAAGGTTAGTTAATTTTAATCTCGCTTCTCTCTACATTCATCCTTTCTTTCTATCCTCTATATTTCTCTTTCTCACTCTATTTTGTGTTCTGATATATTTCAATAATCCATTTGTTTGATCGTGATGCTTGCATCCTGAAGTTTCTCGCTTTCCCCAAACCTGGTGCGAACAGCTTGCGAAACTTCGCTGATGACGGAACCTCGCTGTTGTCGGCTTCGATGCGCTCGGTGCTGCCCTGGATTGTTAAATCTAGTTTGTTGATGAGGTCCATCCCGAGGAGTGTATATCCTGTATGTACGGCGGAAAATGTAGCATCGGCTTGTCGAGTGCCTACTTTGAAGGACGTGTGCAGTACCAAGTACTGGGATGTCAGCTTGAGAGTAGTCGGATAACTTTGCTCAAGTTGGCTGAATGGCTTCTTTGACGAAATGTCTCTCGAGGACGGTCTGTGGGATGATGGACACACTCTATCCGGTATCGACGGTCATGGCTATGTTCACTCTTCCGGCGAGCTGAACTCTGCATTTAACTGAACTGATAGGCTTTGAATTTACTGTCAAGACTTTATTTGTAACGTCTTCAACTTCCCCGACCAGTGTAGGCCCGAGTGTAGGCCTATCAATTAGGACGAAAGTCGTCTCATACCCTGCCAGCACGAGTTTTCCTTTAAACTTTTGATGAGACACAATAGCGTGTCCCGGAACTTGGCCTCGTGCAGGAGGGGCAAAACATCTCACCTTACTGTGATCCATATATATTTCATCCATAATTCACTTTTTGGGTGCCGTGTATGGTTTGCTGTCACCGATCGAGGGGGTATTTACCCGAAATAACTTTGAGAATTATGATTATGGTGACTGCATCCCTCCTTTTTGACTTACAATTATTCCCTAACCTGCTAACTAAGAGGTTATAAATAGTTCCTGCATTTCTTTTTCTTGGTCAGCAATCTGTCAGGAGGGCCTAACTACACTGTTAGAACGGTGTTTAAAATATCACTGTTTAAAAGAATGTTGTTTAAAAAAGTAAACAACGTTGTTCAAAATCGAAAAATTAGTGCTCGATTGACTTAAACAACTATGTATTAAAAGACAAAAAATATTTAATTAAACAGAGTTGTTTAAAAAGTCCCGGGGGCGTCGTTGATATTTTCTCGATTCGCGATTGCTATTTGCGCACACACATGCGATATGCACAAAGTACGTACATAATACATGCATGCAAGCATGCAGTGCTAGTGTGTGCAGTGCAAGTGCTAGTGCAGTGCAGTGCAGACGAAAATGGCGGAACAAGGGCAAGGCGACGACTTGGTTCTTCTCGGCTCGCCGATGGGGTTTAGGTGAAGTTATAGAGACAAATAATAATGTTGTCTGTCACTGCCATGAATATGATGAACAAATGTTGAAGTAAATTGGCAACAAGCTCTGCATGTTGCAGTGTATAAATCGTTGTGATTATTGCAGGAGTGGTT